TTATGGGAAAATTTGATTCGGGTCGCGGCCAATTCGGGTCGCGACCAGAGTCGCGGAACGAATTAAGTTCATTACCCGAGGTACCACTGTTCTGGAATGCTGTGTGAATTCGTATCAAGACCATGCCCTTGCCCCAATCTGGCACCCTCCAGATAGGCTGGGCATACAATACCCAGAATTTCCAGCTAGCATTTCCAGTGGCTGTGCTATTTGGGAATTCTAGAGTTATTGTCCCCAAGACTCAGAAGATGGTAGAATGGAGAAGGCTGATATATAATGAAAATGTATGTATAATGGTTACGTATATTAACATAAACACTGAATTGTTCTTAAACACTTGAAGGCTCAAATACATTTTAATTTCATTTCTGTTTACCAGCTAGAGTGCAGTTATAAACAGATACTACCAACTACAGAAGAGAATTAAACTTAATTCTAATTTTCATATTTATACAAATAAAATGTGTGAAGTTAATTGATTGATGGAGCATATCTTTATGCATGTTTATTCAATGGAACATACTCCTAAGTAAATGTGCGTAAAAATATAGCATCACTCAGTTAATTGATCTTTGGATAAAAATTTACAAGAATAATCCATTTAAATTGATTTCTTCTTAAATATCTTTTTGTTCTCTTTACTTCTTTCTCTCTTTCCTATAATGGAGAAACAGCTCTGGCATTCCTTGCAAACGTGCTTTTAATTCCGCCCCCGCACTTCAGTCACTTAAGAAAAAAAACACTTAAGAATTTCATTATATACTTAAGTGCCATTAATTTTGCTGGGACTCAAGGCCACCTAACTTTCTTGGCATGGCATCCATTGTGTTAATTATAAATTATTCTACTATAGGTCCATTATGTCTGGCAGATAGCTACTCTCAGTGCTCTCTCTTTGACAGAGCAATCCATTCATCTTGGCAGCCATCAATTTATCATGTTCCATTTTGATAGCTATCTATCCTCTCACTCATCATCTTTACGAGGTTGTCTGACATAAGACTTTCTCGATGCATTAAGAAATAAATGAATGACTGCATGGGCTGGCAAGGGTAGATGAGTGAATAAATGACAGGCTGGTACAGGTATGGTTTACCCCCACCCTACAGTTTATCACATGTCCAAATAACATGAAATCAAAATACCATGTTTTAAAAACTCTGATATTATAGAAAATGATAGTATATCCCATTCTATGATACAGCTACATAGCAGGGCTGTCATGATGCAAAAACAATTTGGAAGGAGTATGCTTTGGACTTTGCCCAAGCATACAACCTCTCTGCTTGTTATGACCTGTATTTTTTCAGCCTTCTGTGTGAACTTGAAAGAAGATGTGGAAGTTTTAATGAACAGAATTAAAGAGCCCATCCTTAATGTAATGCTTATGGAAGCCTAAAAGCAGATGTATGATTGCTTTGGTGTTGTGCTAATACTTGCATAAAGTCAAAGCAGATCTTCTGAATCATTTTTAAAGTGTGCACAGCCCTACTAAATAGTACAAAATGCTTCATGACACTCTATATCAATGCCCACCTCCCCCCTGTGCTTCCTGAAAATATTTGAGATCTCTGTTGTTTTCTTTAGATCATGCTTCTCTTGTGTGATTGTCTTTTAACAAAGCAACATTATCAAATCTTCTTCATCATCATCATCATCACCATCACCACTGACAATGGCAAAAACATCAATTTGAGAACTCTTAAGACAGTAGACATGTAAAAATGCTTCAGCATGCTTATCTCAGGCTTAGGAAGCAAAGAAACAGAACAAGAAGCACAAAAGTGAAACTATAGAGAGGGGGAAAAAACTACAAAATAACAGCAGGTTTCTCAAGCACATGAGCTTCATCACAGCATTGGGCATGCACTGGTTTTAACAAAAGCAAGGCTACTGTTGTCTTTAGTGTTAAAGGGACTTTATCTCTTTGAGATTAGCAAGAGAAAGTTATCCACTTTTTAGACTAAATGTGTTTACATTTTAAAAATCTATTCACATAAAGGCAGATCACATTAATGAGTTTCAATCTTGTTTATGATTCTGTCTCCTTAATTATAAGACATAGCACTAGCAGAATGTTTTAGGTCAGGCCTGTATAGTTGATGACCTATCAAACTAAATACAACTTAGCAGCCACATGTGACTATCTACCCTGAATGTTGTTATCTCCCTTAGTGAAGGGAAATAAACGAGGGGTATCAAATATCTGGATGGGGAAATGCATAGGCCTGGAGCTGAGTGAAGGTCTCCTTCAAAGCACTTCATGCTTTTTTGCAGCCTCTAATATAGGAGAGCGTTGTTTTCACCTTAGGACTGAAAGTAGCATTGCAATCATGCTAGAATCTAAGTTCCTCATCAGGGCCCACCATTGGTATGGTGTTGATTTTCCTGTAGTCTTAACTAGCAATACTGGGAATGTCTGGGAACCTATCCACAATTTAAAATTTCCTAAATAGGTCAAATTGGTTTAGGGACAAAATCTGAACAGTTTGTATTACATTCCCAATTTTTCAGTCTATTCGAGTCATATTTTCTCTTGATTTGTTTGGGTAAATTTCTTCACACCCTTTATCCTCTGCCTAGGTTCCTTTATTTCTGCTTATCTTTCTTTTATTTATGCATTTAATGGGCCACCCTTCCCTACTAAGAGCTTTCCTTAGCACATTTTATAATCTTTCTCACATTTAGAGATTAAAAACATTTTTTTAAAATATATGTATTGCTGCAATTACCAAGGTCTTGTTCAGCAATTTTAAGGTCTCGACACCTGTTAGTAAGGTCACCTTAGCAATGGGAAAATAAACAAAATGTTTACTCAATATATGCTTTTAAAATCAAAAGCAATTTTGCACTCCAATCTGGTTGTCACCCAATTCTTTTTCTAGAAGGGACACTTTAAAAAGGTAAGCAAAAGTTGGTCCAGATTTTCCTAAATTACAAAACTGGACCTGATCTGTTTTATTTTATATCATACCCAATCTGTGGAAAAAGGGTCAGCCTTCTGATACAGCATGTACGACTTGAAGCAATATCCTTAAGCAAAATAACGATACCTTATTCAAATGAGCAAAATTCAAAAAGGCTCATGACAGAAACTGTGTGCATCATGACATTTGTGAATGTTATCTTCTGACTGGTACAGTATCTGGAGGTCAGTTCTCAACACTTGGAAAAACTTCAGGAACAACTTTCAATATGCTATAAGCAAATGTATGCAAAGGGAAAAATAATATGCATACAAAAATATCTCTATATATTGATAGAGTTCAAGTTGGTTGAAGTCACTGAGACTTAACTGAAATGGGATACTTGGGCTTAAAAATAGTTAACTTCCCCTAGAATACTCTCAGTGTAAACTGTGTTTATTCCATAAGGTTTGGCCTATGAACCATTAGGAACATTTCCAGTCAACTTTCACTGAAAAGCAGTTAAGCAAATGTAGAATTCTCATTAACCCATTGCAATGTATTTGTGTGCTTATTCGAGTTGCTTCTGCCGGAGGACTATATATTACTTTGGGAAATCAATGGATTTGTGAACTGTTAAACAGAAAACAAGCATGACTTGTCCTACATTTTTAACATTCAATAGTTTCAATCTAGAATGCCCATGTAGAAAATGGTGCTGTGTAAATATACATACAGATGTATATTTTTTGGAGATGGATTCACCTTTGTGTTTAGATTAGGATACGCATCAAATACTCAAGCCCATACAACTTTATTCAGAAGAAAAATCAATTGAGTTCAATAAGATTTACCCTTAGGGTAAGTATAGGATATATGTAGGGTACAACCAAGGATGGGAATAGCTAGTCTTAAAATATGAATCAATTACCTGTGGCTCCATCACTAGCGTAGATCCTGACACTAGCATTCTCACTTATGCATCAATAAATAGTACTGCAGAAATGTATCTGCAGGTCCATTCTGTTAATCCATATGCGATTCGGGCATTGCCACACACAGCAAAATTCAATAGCATGATTTGCTGTAGTGTGTAGACAATACTGGAACAGGATATATTCTGAAAAATACCCATTTTCTCACTTTTACTTATGTGGCTTATATAACCATTTAAATGCTATCTCCTAGGATTCAGGGGTTGGAGAAATAAATACCCAGAACAGATTAGCTTCATTAAAATGATGAGGACAGCCACAGCCATAACATTATTTAAAAAGGAATGGGGAATCTGAAAATAACGTTTGAAGAATTAGGTTTCTAAACAATTTTAAGACAACTTTGATGATAAATATATAGATGTAGATTATATATATTATTTAAAAATAGTTCATGCAGTGGTTATATTGCCATAATACATATTGTTCCATTTTGCTTTTTGGTTTTTTAAGTGGCGTCTTAGCTTTTGCTTCTTTCTTTGATTTTTTTTTTATAGTAAGCTTTGAATTTTGTCCCTTTAACTTTGTTTTAATAGCAATGTATTATAGCATGATTTATCAACATATGGCAGGTGGAGGTTGACACAAATTATAATGAAAATTAAAAGTCATTTATGCAGCAGGCGATTCCAGTTTAAGAAACATTTATTTGCAGGCTTTAAAAATGAGGGTTTAGAATCAAATGGATTTAAAATGAAAGTTTAACAACGGTTACCTTTTTCCTGCAGCCATTCCTCTACGGGTCGGTTATATTTGAAGGGGATTTTCTGTTTTACCAATTGGAACGCAGTATCAGTGTTTCCTTTAAAGTTTAAAAAACAGCTTAAAAACAATCTGAAAAGTCAATGAAATTGTTAAAAAAATAAAACATCCTAAGCTGCTTTGATTTATTCATTTATTTATGAAGGAATTTTAAAAGACAAACATGAAGATATATAGTTAGTCTTCTTTTAACATGGTAGAGAACAGCATACTCTCATTTCCTGGAATTCTAGAAGATCCAGAACATCCTTTCCATATTTCAAGCATGTTTGTTATTGAAGAGTTACCTGTAACACAGAAACCCTTTCAATCATATCAATTTTAGGAATCATGCTGGCTTGCTTCTCCTCACCTCCTCATGCTTTTACATGCTGTGAATCGGAACCTGGAATAATAAGTTTGCCTGATCATGGGGAATCCTGAACATGGAACTCCACTGCCCTCTTCAAGCATTCATAGAAAGTGCCTCACATAATCTAGGGCTAACTTAAGATACAGCATCATAGGATCATAGGATTGGAAGGACCTCAAGATCTTCTAGTCCAGCTTCCTGCCAAGGGCAGAAATCTTAGTACTACTCCAGCCAAATGGCTGACCAAACATTGTACCCACAACCCCACAAGGCAGGCTGTTTCATTGCTTAAATGAATTCAGGAAATTCTTGCTTATTTTGAGTTTGGATCTCCTTCTGTAAAGTCTCAATCAGTGATTCTTATTCTACAATCAGGCACCATGGATAATAAATTCATGCTCTCTTCCTTTTGACAGCCCTTCAAGTATTGGAAGACAGTTATCCTGCCTCCCTTTAGCCTTGTCTTCAATAGGCTAAACTTTCTCCATTCCTTTAACTGTTTTTCATAGGATTTAGCCTGCAATACCCTCACCATCTTTGTTGCTTTTCTCTGCACTCTTTCCAGTTCCTCAACCTCCTTCTCCTATTGAAGTGACTAGAATTAAACAGTATTCCAGATGCAGTCTGACCAAAGCAACACAGAGCAGAACTATCACTTTGCATGATCTTGACACTGTGCCTCTGTTGATGCAGTCCAAGACTGCATTGGTTCTTTTGGCAACTGAAGAACACAGCTGGCTTATGCTTAAGCTGTGGTCTGCCAGGATGCCCAGTTCCTTCTCAAAACTACTACTGTGGAGCCAGGTGCTGCCTATCTTGACCTGTACATCTGTTTTTTTCCAGATACATGTACCATTAAAATGCATATTTTTGGATGAGGTCCAATATTCACATCTACCAAGATCCTTCTGAACTTTGAACCTGTTTCCTGTGGTGTTAGCAATCTCGCTCTACCCCCTAAGTTTTATGTTTACCTGCAAATCAGAAAAACATCCTCTCATCTAAGCCAGACCATTCCCTCAGTCTACTAATCTAGTCACTTTGTAAAATCATCATCATCATCATCATCATCATCATCATCATCATCATCATCTAGCACAATCTATTTTAACAGCTGCATGCTGGTTTCTAGTAGTACTTTGTTCCTTTCTAAGTGTTTGCAAGCCACTGCTTTATTATCTTTCTAGAATTTTCTCAGGTACTAATGTCAAGCTGGTCTGCAGCATTCTGTTTCTTTTTACTGTTTTCCCTTTTTTAAAGACTGAAACAGACAGACAGAAACTTTACTTCTGTCATTGACCAATAAAAGTACATTCTATAAAACAAACAAAGCAAATTATCCCTTAACATCAATGACTGTTAGCAACCATTGGTAGGCAAATCTTACACATAATGTAGTAGAATGTTGCTACTTGTAGGGAAATACATTTATCTTGGTTGCTTAACAGGTAATGCAAATAAAAATTTAATGTTTTCTTTTCACCTAATCTACCTTGCTTTCTTAATTCTAAGATTAAAGACAGAGTTATCTTTTCCACTTCAGCGTTTCTCCTGTGTAAAGCAAGCAAAAACAAAACAAAGGCACCTCCTCCTTCAAAAAGAAAACTCAGAAACTTAGTATTCCAAAGGGAAATGTTCAAACCCAACCCACTCAGGTCATGAAAATATTTTTCATATGGAATTTTACATATAGAAGGAGTTTTACATCTCCTAGAGTGATTCTTCCTTACCCTATGAATTGCCACCATCTCAGAATTCTGCTGCCTCTCATTTTTTTTCTCTTTTCTTCAAATGAGTCAGGTCTCTTTTGGTGTGAATGCTCTTGATAAAGTATTTGTGGTGAGTGTACAACAACAGTAAAGCAAACTCCATGTTTCCCTTCAGTTTCCTGTGGTACTACTCAGCATACTCAGGGAGAACACCAATGCTTGTCAGACCCTGGGCAGGGGGAAGTGAAGCTGTGTATTGATGCGAAGAAGAGGGGGTTGGAAAGTTAGCTTCCTTCTACCTCCCTCCACCTCCTACTGGGGGATATCTGGATCCAAGAGAGGTGTTCTAGGAGAAAGAACACTAAAGTTTTCTTCCATAAAGGGTTGTAAGGAAATTTCTCTGCCAAAATAAGTACTGAATATACAGTAGGTTATGCTCTTTTTTATTATCTTGGTATTCTGTATGTCAACCGCACTAGGTAAACCAGACCAGGAAATCAACTCCACAGGAAAGCTAAAACTACTTTTATTGAGATTGGCAATAATAACAGAAACCTGTAAGTCTGACTGCACTGTACCTCTTCCTCCTTCTTATAGTTCAGTAAATTAGGGAGGCATATGTCTGAGTCACTTCCAAATATTAGCACATTCTGGACTTTAAAAAATTCTTCAGCCCCTTTTGCCCAGGCAACAGATCCTATGTGTCTATGTCAAAGTCATCTTCCTTACTCTCTATAACATATTATGCTTTGACTGTATATACTGCCTTAAAGTCTCAGGAGTGAGGTGGCTTATAAAACTTATAAATAAATAAACAGTAAGCAGAATTGAAAATAGTTTAGCCCGAAGTTATGTTGAGCCACTTCTTTCAACTCTTTCAAATTTTACAGTCCTTTTCTCTTCTGGAAAAAAAAAAAGTCATTCACATCAAAGCCAAAAGGGGCATAGTATTTTGGAATGTAAGAGATAGGATCTTCCTTTAAGTTGAAAAGAAACCACAGCTTAAAACTGAGTCTGCCATTTTAGACTTTGAGCCAGGCCTTCAAGCTCAGTTAGGTTCTCCATAGAGAATGGCAAGACAAATCTGATAGTCTGACTAATAATCAAGCAGTAATTCATACTTAATTTTAAACTTTAGCAGTAATAGTAGTCACTTTCATTCAAATGTCCATCCAGTTTCTTGAAATTCAGACATAAAGTAGGACTATATCATGGAAGATCCACATTAAAATCAGCTGAGACATTTACAAAACAAAAACTCTTCAGTAGGTTTAGAAAAAAGGGCAGAGATTATAGTAAGTGGTAAAAAAACCAGCTGGCTATAGCAGAACGACAAAACAACTTCAGTAGAAGATTGTCTTCATCAGTTCCCACTATATCTGAAAGAAGGCTTTCCACAGACATACTGTATGTATAACTCTTACAAATATTGTCATATTTGCAACAAAAAAAAAGTTAATTAAGAATTGCTGACATATATCTCTTGTACTGGTGCCTCATACCCTATGTCAGCCTGGCACTGCCCTTGGTTTCTGCTATTAAGACTAAATAAAATAAAGGAGATATTCTCTGTCAATCACTGTATTGTACAGATATTCTCTGTGCAATCACAAGTGATACAAAGGGTAGTTTTTGGTTTGCAAATGCCTGGAATAGTGTCCCCAATTATTCAGGAAAGGAAATTCTCATGGTGAGACAGTCCCTGTATAAGTATCTAGAGGACAGAGATCCCAAAGTCCTTTTTAAAAAATCCTATATTCATATAACAAATTACTTGAGTACTATTTAGCATAGAGACCAACTTCCAAACAAACAAAGCACAAAAGAGGAACAGAATGAGAGAATTGCTGAGCCTCACCATACATAAATCAGATTAGACAGGCAGAAATGTATTATATAGTAAAAAAATGCATGTTCAGAAAACATAAATGCCTATAAAGGAATTGTGGAAATTAGAGTGCCAAAGAGAATAAGTTATTCTAGACCAGGGGTCTGAAATTCAAATTGTCACAGAGTTCCTTAGCCTGAGGGCCAGAACATTGGAGCCTTTTTGTACACTGATAGAAAATCTCAGTGAGTCAGAAATGAAGAAAATTAATCCACTGCCACACTTCTTACTACCAGAAGCAAGCTGACAGGGCCCAGTCCTGAGACTGAAAGTGCCTTGTTGTAGGGCTAAGGGTGCAGCTGGCCCTTGGATGGCCCGCCCCGAGGTGCAACTGTACTTTTTTTTCAGCTTAAAGGAAGATTGGCAGAGATCAACCAGCTACTGCTCAATGTCCAGCAATCATTGCCCTGCTGTGTGCTTTCTACTTTTCTGGCTTATTCTTTCCTAAGCATGAGGATGGGCCCCACAAAGTAACCTGGAGGACTGTATGCAGCCTGAGAGCTGCAAGTCTTAGAACTGTTTTATACTCTTTATAGATTAGGTCATTGGTAGTATTTATGACATGATCAGTAAAAACGTAACTTAAAGGAAACCAAATATAAAGGAAATGCAACTCCCTTTGGATCTAATGAAAGTGGTTATCTGTTCTTTTATTCAATCTGATTCTCAGCTAACCTTAGTAAGAATTCTGTTGCAGAACAGAGTCACAGCTCCGAGACAGTGATACAGATCAGAAACAGTGGGCAAATGCATGGTTTAAATGCAGAACTCTCTGACATTGTAATTTAAGTTTTTAAGGTTGTGTGATCCTGAGGGACTGCTATCAGTATGATTCGATAATATGAGCTAGATGGATCAACTCTTCATGTCTGAGTTTTCCTAAATTTTTTTAAAGAAAAGGAGAGAGAGAGAAGAAATAAGAAAGAGAAGGAGAAAAAATATAGAAAGAAGTCTATATTTTAGAGTCAATAAGGTCAATAAGGAGATCAAAAACACTGTTCTCAAATGGTTGCTACATTATTACTCCTCTCTGGGTAGTTCCTTCCAGCAACAAAATATGAGCTACAGCAAATGGATCAAGAGAAAGGAAT